AGGATGCTGAAGAGCCATGGAGGATGCTGAAGAGCCATGGAGGATGCTTGAAGAGCCATGGAGGATGTTGAAGAGCCATGGAGGATGTGAAGAGCCATGGAGGATGTGAAGAGCCATGGAGGATGTTGAAGAGCCATGGAGGATGCTGAAGAGCCATGGAGGATGCTGAAGAGCCATGGAGGATGCTGAAGAGCCATGGAGGATGTTGAAGAGCCATGGAGGATGCTGAAGAGCCATGGAGGATGCTGAAGAGCCATGGAGGATGTTGAAGAGCCATGGAGGATGTTGAAGAGCCATGGAGGATGTTGAAGAGCCAGGATGCTGAAGAGCCATGGAGGATGTTGAAGAGCCATGGAGGATGTTGAAGAGCCATGGAGGATGTTGAAGAGCCATGGAGGATGCTGAAGAGCCATGGAGGATGCTGAAGAGACATGGAGGATGTTGAAGAGCCATGGAGGATGTTGAAAAGCCATGGAGGATGTTGAAGAGCCATGGAGGATGTTGAAGAGCAATGGAGGATGCTGAAGAGCCATGGAGGATGTTGAAGAGCCATGGAGGATGCTGAAGAGCCATGGAGGATGTTGAAGAGCCATGGAGGATGTTGAAGAGCCATGGAGGATGTTGAAGAGCCATGGAGGATGTTGAAGAGCCATGGAGGATGTTGAACAGCCATGGAGGATGTTGAACAGCCATGGTGGATGTTGAAGAGCCATGGAGGATGTTGAACAGCCATGGTGGATGTTGAAGAGCCATGTAGGATGTTGAACAGCCATGTAGGATGTTGAACAGCCATGGAGGATGTTGAACAGCCATGGAGGATGTTGAACAGCCATGGAGGATGTTGAAGAGCCATGGAGGATGTTGAAGAGCCATGGAGGATGTTGAAGAGCCATGGAGGATGTTGAAGAGCCATGGAGGATGTTGAACAGCCATGGAGGATGTTGAACAGCCATGGTGGATGTTGAAGAGCCATGGAGGATGTTGAACAGCCAGGGTTGATGTTGAAGACCCATGTAGGATGTTGAACAGCCATGTAGGATGTTGAACAGCCATGGAGGATGTTGAACAGCCATGGAGGATGTTGAACAGCCATGTAGGATGTTGAACAGCCATGGAGGATGTTGAACAGCCATGGAGGATGTTGAACAGCCATGGAGGATGTTGAACAGCCATGTAGGATGTTGAAGAGCCATGGAGGATGTTGAAGAGTCATGGAGGATGTTGAAGAGCATGGAGGATGTTGAAGAGCCATGGAGGATGCTGAAGAGCCATGGAGGATGTTGAAGAGCCATGGAGGATGTTGAAGAGCATGGAGGATGTTGAAGAGCCATGGAGGATGTTGAAGAGCCATGGAGGATGTTGAAGAGCCATGGAGAATGTTGAAGAGCCATGGAGGATGTTGAAGAGCATGGAGGATGCTGAAGAGCATGGAGGATGTTGAAGAGCCATGGAGGATGTTGAAGAGCCATGGAGGATGTTGAAGAGCCCATGGAGAATGTTGAAGAGCCATGGAGGATGTTGAAGAGCATGGAGGATGTTGAAGAGCCATGGAGGATGTTGAAGAGCCATGGAGGATGTTGAAGAGCCATGGAGAATGTTGAAGAGCCATGGAGAATGTTGAAGAGCCATGGAGGATGCTGAAGAGCATGGAGGATGTTGAAGAGCCATGGAGGATGTTGAACAGCCATGGAGAATGTTGAAGAGCCATGGAGGATGTTGAAGAGCATGGAGGATGTTGAAGAGCCATGGAGGATGTTGAACAGCCATGTAGGATGTTGAAGAGCCATGGAGGATGTTGAACAGCCTTGGAGGATGTTGAACAGCCATGGAGGATGTTGAACAGCCATGGAGGATGTTGAAGAGCATGGAGGATGTTGAAGAGCCATGGAGGATGTTGAACAGCCATGGAGGATGTTGAACAGCCATGGTGGATGTTGAAGAGCCATGGAGGATGTTGAACAGCCATGGTGGATGTTGAAGAGCCATGTAGGATGTTGAACAGCCATGTAGGATGTTGAACAGCCATGGAGGATGTTGAACAGCCATGGAGGATGTTGAACAGCCATGGAGGATGTTGAACAGCCATGTAGGATGTTGAAGAGCCATGTAGGATGTTGAACAGCCATGGAGGATGTTGAACAGCCATGGAGGATGTTGAACAGCCATGGAGGATGTTGAACAGCCATGGAGGATGTTGAACAGCCATGGAGGATGTTGAACAGCCATGTAGGATGTTGAAGAGCCATGGAGGATGTTGAAAGCCATGAGGATGTTGAAAGCCATGGAGGATGTTGAACAGCCATGGAGGATGTTGAAGAGCATGGAGAATGTTGAACAGCCATGGAGGATGTTGAAGAGCATGGAGGATGTTGAACAGCCATGGAGGATGTTGAACAGCCATGGAGGATGTTGAACAGCCATGGAGGATGTTGAAGAGCATGGAGGATGTTGAAGAGCCATGGAGGATGTTGAACAGCCATGGAGGATGTTGAACAGCCATGTAGGATGTTGAAGAGCCATGGAGGATGTTGAACAGCCATGGAGGATGTTGAACAGCCATGGAGGATGTTGAACAGCCATGGAGGATGTTGAAGAGCATGGAGGATGTTGAAGAGCCATGGAGGATGTTGAACAGCCATGGAGGATGTTGAACAGCCATGGAGGATGTTGAAGAGCATGGAGGATGTTGAAGAGCCATGGAGGATGTTGAACAGCCATGGAGGATGTTGAACAGCCATGGAGGATGTTGAAGAGCATGGAGGATGTTGAAGAGCCATGGAGGATGTTGAACAGCCATGGAGGATGTTGAACAGCCATGGAGGATGTTGAACAGCCATGGTGGATGTTGAAGAGCCATGTAGGATGTTGAAGAGCCATGGAGGATGTTGAAGAGCCATGGAGGATGTTGAAGAGCCATGGAGGATGTTGAAGAGCCATGGAGGATGTTGAAGAGCCATGGGGGATGTTGAAGAATCGTAGAGGATGTTGAAGAATCATGGAGGATGTTGAAGAGTTATGGAGGATGTTGAAGAGCCATGGAGGATGTTGAAAAGACGTGGAGGATGTTGAAGAGCCATGGAGGATGTTGAAAAGTCATGGAGGATGTTGAAGAGCCATGGAGGATGTTGAAGAGCCATGGAGGATGTTAAAGAGCCATGGAATATGTTGAAGAGACGTGGAGGATGTTGAAGAGCCATGGAGGATGTTGAAGAGCCATGGAGGATGTTGAAGAGCCATGGAGGATGTTGAAGAGTCTTGGAGGATGTTGAAGAATCGTAGAGGATGTTGAAGAGTCGTGGAAGATGTTGAAGAGTCATGGAGGATGTTGAAGAGTCATGGAGGATGTTGAAGAGTCGTGAAAGATGTTGAAGAGTCATGGAGGATGTTGAAGAGTCATGGAGGATGTTGAAGAATCATGGAAGATGCTGAAGAGTCATGGAGGATGTTGAAGAGCCATGGAGGATGTTGAAGAGCCATGGAGGATGTTGAAGAGCCATGGAGGATGTTGAAGAGCCATGGAGGATGTTGAAGAGCCATGGAGGATGTTGAAGAGCCATGGAGGATGTTGAAGAGCCATGGAGGATGTTGAAGAGACGTGGAGGATGTTGAAGAGCCATGGAGGATGTTGAAAAGTCATGGAGGATGTTGAAGAGCCATGGAGGATGTTGAAGAGCCATGGAGGATATTAAAGAGGCATGGAATATGTTGAAGAGACGTGGAGAATGTTGAAGAGCCATGGAGGATGTTGAAGAGTCATGGAGGATGTTGAAGAGTCATGGAGGATATTGAAGAGCCATGGAGGATGTTGAAGAGCCATGGAGGATGTTGAAGAGTCTTGGAGGATGTTGAAGAATCGTAGAGGATGTTGAAGAATCATGGAGGATGTTGAAGAGTCATGGAGGATGTTGAAGAGTCATGGAGGATGTTGAAGAGTCATGGAGGATGTTGAAGAGTCATGGAGGATGTTGAAGAGCCATGGAGGATGTTGAAGAGTCGTGAAAGATGTTGAAGAGTCATGGAGGATGTTGAAGAGCCATGGAGGATGTTGAAGAGTCGTGAAAGATGTTGAAGAGTCATGGAGGATGTTGAAGAGCCATGGAGGATGTTGAAATCTTGGAGGATGTTGAAGAGTCATGGAGGATGTTGAAGAATCATGGAGGATGTTGAAGAGTCGTGAAAGATGTTGAAGAGTCATGGCGGATGTTGAAGAGTCATGGAGGATGTTGAAGAATCATGGAGGATGTTGAAGAGTCGTGAAAGATGTTGAAGAGTCATGGAGGATGTTGAAGAGTCATGGAGGATGTTGAAGAGTCATGGAGGATGTTGAAGAATCATGGAGGATGTTGAAGAATCATGGAAGATGCTGAAGAGTCATGGAGGATGTTGAAGAATCATGGAGGATGTTGAAGAGTCGTGAAAGATGTTGAAGAGTCATGGAGGATGTTGAAGAGTCATGGAGGATGTTGAAGAGTCATGGAGGATGTTGAAGAGTCGTGAAAGATGTTGAAGAGTCATGGAGGATGTTGAAGAGTCATGGAGGATGTTGAAGAGTCGTGAAAGATGTTGAAGAGTCATGAAGGATGTTGAAGAGCCATGGAGGATGTTGAAGAGTCATGGAGGATGTTGAAGAGTCATGGAGGATGTTGAAGAGTCATGGAGGATGTTGAAGAGTCATGGTGGATATTGAAGAGTCATGGAGGATGTTGAAGAGTCATGGAGGATGTTGAAGAATCATGGAAGATGTTGAAGAGTCATGGAGGATGTTGAAGAATCATGGAAGATGCTGAAGAGTCATGGAGGATGTTGAAGAATCATGGAGGATGTTGAAATCTTGGAGGATGTTGAAGAGTCATGGAGGATGTTGAAGAATCATGGAGGATGTTGAAGTCTTGCAGGATGTTGAAGAGTCATGGAGGATGTTGAAGAATCACGGAGGATGTTGAAGAGTCATGGAGGATGTTGAAGAATCATGGAGGATGTTGAAGAGTCATGGAGGATGTTGAAGAGTCATGGAGGATGTTGAAGAATCATGGAGGATGTTGAAGAATCATGGAGGATGTTGAAGAGTCATGGAGGATGTTGAAGAATCATGGAGGATGTTGAAGAGTCATGGAGGATGTTGAAGAGTCATGGAGGATGTTGAAGAGTCATGGATTATTATTATTATAATCAAGGGGGAAGCGCTAAACCTGGAGGAGGATTATACAGCGCCTGGGGGGGGGGGGTGTGTGGAAGGCATTCAGGCTTAATTCGGGGAACTGGAGCACAGATCCAATTCCTTAAATCAAGAGCCCCTCACCAACATCAAGGAACCTTCCTTGAGGGGAAAGAGTCATGGAGGATGTTGAAGAATCGTGGAGGATGTTGAGGAGTCATGGAGGATGTTGAAGACCAAATACTCCTCCCTCTAGTTTATTCTCCCCTGAATTTGGCTGAAGAAACCTACAATGTTTTCGAAATGTTTCAATAATAAAGATACCCAACTGTTGCACATGTGTCTAACTCATCAATTTATCGGTATTATGCAATATTTTGTCTAATACTGTCGGTGTTGTTGTTTATAAGGGCTACGACGGCTTATGCCGTCGACAACAATCTATCATTACACCTCGGGAAAACTGAAGCCATTCTCTTTGGCACGAAACATAAACTGAGAAGGGTAAATAATTTTAATGTTCAATGTAATGGGGAGCCCATCACTTTGGTTTCATCAGTAAAATATTTGGGAATCCCCTTTGACCCATGCATGTCAGGAGAATTGATAGGGAACAGTGTAGTAAAGAAAGCGAATGCCAGACTGAAGTTCCTATATAGACAAGCACAGTGTCTACCTACTGAGGCTCGCAGGACCCTATGTCTAGCCCTTATACAATGCCATATGGATTACGCTTGCTCTTCTTGGTACTCTGCCTTGACAAAAAAAACTGAAAGATAGACTGCAAATCACCCAGAACAAAATTGTAAGATTCATCCGGGGCTGGGACCAAGAGAACATGTAGGCCAGGATGAATTACAGCAGTTGGATATGCTGAATGTTGAAGACAGAGTAAAACAACTGAAGCTAAATCATGTTTATAAAATTGCTCACAAACAATGTCCAGAATATCTTGCTGTCAATTTTGTCAAGGTTGGGAACCAAAGCAATCATAGTACTAGGGGGAGATAGCACAACTTTGTAGTACCACAGTGGGTTTTTTGGGGGTTTTGGGTTTTTGGTGGGGTTTTTTTGTTTTTTTGGGGGTTTGGGGGTTTTTTTTGGGGGGTTTTTTTTGTTGGGGGGTTGGGTTTTTTTGTTGGGGGGTTTTTTTTTTTTTGGGGTTGGGTTTTTGTTGTTTGGGGGTTTTTTTGGTTTTTGGTGTTTTATTGTTTTGTTGGTTGTGGTTTTTGTTTTGTTGGTTGGGGGTGGGTTTTGGTTTTGGGGGGTTTTTTGTTTTTGGTGGTGCTGTTTTTTTTTTGGTTTGGTGCTGGGGTTTGTTTTTGTTTTTTTGGGTGGTTTTTTGGGGGGTTTTTTTGGGGGTGGTGCTGGTTTTTTTGTTTTGTGGTGGTTTTTTTTTTTTGTTGGTGGTGCTGGTGTTATTTTTGTTGGGGGTGGGGGGGGTTTTTTTGGGGGGGGGGTTTGGGGTTTTTTTTGTTGTTTTGGGGTTGTTTTTTTTGGGGGGGGGGTTGGGTTTTTTTTTGGGGTTGGTGGGGTGTTTTTTTTTTGGGTGGTTTTGTTTTTTTTTTGGGGTGGGGGTGGGGTGTTTTGTTTTTTTTGGGGTTTGGTTTTTTGTTTTGGGGTTTGGGGGGTTTTTTGTTTTTTTGGGGGGTTTTGGGGTTTTGGTGGTGGGTTTTTTGGTTTTGGTGTTGTGGGGTTTTTGGTGGGGGGGGTTTTTTTTTTGGGTGGGGGGGGGTTTTTTTTGGGGTTTTGGGGGGGTTTTGTTTGGGGTTGGGTGGTGTGGTGTTTTTGTTGGGTTTGGGGTGCTTTTTGGGGGGTTTTGGGGTTGGTGGGGGTTTTTGTTTTTTTGGGCTTGGTTTTTGGTTGTTGGTGGTGCTGGTGTTTTGGGGTGTTGGTGGGGGGTTTGGGGTGTTTTTTTTGGGGGTGTGGGGGGTTTGTTTTTTTGGGTTTGGGGGGTTGGTTTTTGGGTTGGTGGGTTTGGTGGTGCGGGGTGGGGTGGGTGGGTTTTTTGGGGGGTTTTGGGTGGTGTGGTGGGGGTTTGGGTGGTGTGGTTTTGGGGGTGGTTGGGTTGGTGGTGCTGGTGTGTTGGTGGGGGGGTTTTGGGGGGTTTGGGGTTTTTTTTTGGGGGTGTTTTTTGGGGGGGTGGTTTTTGGGTGGGTTGTTGGGGTGGTGTTGGTGGGTTGGTGGTGGGGTTGTTGGGGGGTGGTGTTGGGGGGTTGTGGGGGTGTTGGTGGGGGGTTGGTGGGGTTGGGGGGTTGGGGGTGGTGTGGTGGGGTGGTGTTGGGGGGTTGGTGCTGGTGGTTGGGGGTGTGGGGGGTTTGGTGGTGGGTGTTTTGGGTTTTGGG